ATGTTAAATGCTTGAGTAGCATCTTGGGGCATTGAGGGAAATGGCACTGGTAGACAATTTATATTAACATGGGGTAGAAATTGGGGTGGTGCAGCTATTTGCCTTCCCTCTGAGCAGGAGTCGATGCTCAGAATGGCTGGGAGCAGCTGTGGCTGCCTCAAAGTAGATCCTTGCTTACACTCTACCTCCAGCACTGCTTTCAGTGGCATTGGGGGCTTCTATTTACCTCTGTAAGACTCCAGTCCTTAAAAAATCCCCAGAAATCCTCCCAAGCACTCAAGTTTCATGATCCTTGGCGTAAAATAATTACCTAGGCAAATTAAGCATTATGATAGCTATGGGTCTTTGTAATTAATTTTTGACTTGTTGCTGTTCACTGTCACTGACTATCCCCTCGGGTCTTCACTGCTGCTCTGGAGAAGAATAAATAAAAGACACCAAACCTAGCTTGTGCTATTGGTATCTGATGCAGCTGCTCAGTGTTGTCACTTACGATGATCCATGCACAGATTTACAGCATATATATGTGTGTGTACATATATGTATATAATATAGGGGGTTGTGTCTGGGGCTTATCTTGTTCTCCTGACATGAACCACGGGGTGTTTGGAGTTGTTCCTGCCACTAAGTGTGGCAGGAAGTTCTTTATTCCCTGGGGTTGGCTGGGATCTGGTGGTGGGTGAGTGAAACAACAAAATTCTTCCCTGGCAGTTTTCCCAGCAGAGCCTTCTAGTTTGGTTCCAGCTGAACAGTCTCTGGCAGTAACTTCACTGCATCCAGTCCAAAGTACAGTTTAACTGCTGTAGCTGCTACTCACACTGGGGCGTACTGGGACACAGTTTCCTACTGGAAAACCTCTTCATCTTCCCTCCTCCACTACAATAAAGTCTATGAATATCAGCAAGTTGCTGTTGACATCCCTGTTTCGCACATGATGGAGCAGAAGGGCCTTACTGACACCAGTATATATTTAAATCCACTAGGATTTCCCATATAAATGAGAGTTTTGTTTCCCAAAACTACCCAATACCATGTCTCTCCCTCAAGTCCCTGCCTAGACTCATTGCTACATCTTTAACCCTCGCTCAGGTCCTTATTAATATTTCTGCCTCGGTGGGAGAGATGCCAATGAGACTGGAAGTAGTTGCTGATGCTAATTTGACCTTTATGAATTTAAATTCCAGACTCACCCCAGGGGAGTCAGTGAGTGAATGAGAGAGCAGTGGCACGTGGGCTGCTGGAGCAGTGTCAGCGCTTTGGGAGCTGAGCTGGAGTGGGTGGAAAGGCTCTTGGTCAAATTGTCACCCACTGCGAAAGGTGTTACCAACTTATCTGATAGTGCCTGTGAAGGATATGTTCTCATCACTCACTGCTTCTTAGCCTAAGGATTTTGCTGTATCTGGAACAATTAGATTTGCCTTATTTAACGCAAAGCTACACTCCCTTTCCCCCTTGAAAAAACCTTCAGTTAAAAAAACACAGACATTTATATTTTTTCTGCTTAGCTTTGGTGTCATTTTTCTTTGCTTCAGGTGAACTGGCACTGGCATGAAACATTTCTTTCCTGCCAAGGAACTTTCTGTGCTCCCCTCTCTCTCCTAAGCAGACACAGAGGCTTGAGGATAAGAATTCATCGTGATAACAAGCTCAAAGAAGTGGATTGTGCAGCCAGGACCAGAGGGGGGTGTGAGCAATTGGGTGGCAACTCCTTGGGCTCATCCAGGCTTGAGAACTACGAATGGCAAAATAACCCTTTGAGAGTGCTCCGAGCTTGCTACGCACTTTCTGCTGAGCTGCTTTGGAAAATCCTCATTATTAATTAGGAGGAGGGTTCCCCATCTTCTCAGATTCTCCTTTCCCTCCCCAGGGAAGCAGTCCTGCAGCTGCAGGGAATGCTTTGCTTTGGTGGATGAAATGACCTTGTCCCTCCCTGATGGACTTTGTGACAGGGCAAGAAGCAGCTGCTCACAGACCTGAGGAGTTGAAATCATCAGCCAGAGAAATCCATGGTCTGAGTCAGTCCATGGGCTGAGAGCCTTTGGAACAGCACCTATCCACGCCAGACAAGGGATGCTGATCCTCACTGTGTTCCTTGTCAAGCCTAATCTGAGACTTTCATGGCTTGCAGATGTTTGGGGGTGTAGCTGACCTGACTTCCTAAATGCACCACATTGACCTGTCCATATATCAGGAATATCAGTCCAGCCTGATATTCCTTCTTCACTGCTTTCTGATGGAGCATCCAGCTGTGCCCCTCTGTCCCAGTCCCAGCCAAAATTGGGGACTCACACACAGGAATTTTTGATGGTACCTAGACTATCAAGTTGGAGCCTCATAATGAGCCTGAATTCCCAGGGATATCACCCTGCATTGGGGGCTTGAAGGAAGATGGGTAAAACTGTGGTGATGTCAGTGCAAGGGGGCCCCCAGCCAGGTAATAATTAGCATAGACTCCATGCATTTACAAAAGGCTGATCAATTATTCTTTATTAAGAAACCCATTGCTTTTTTTATACCCTAGTTTGCTACAGGTGGACCTAATTGGTCCTTAAAACACCATCACCACTGGCTAATTAAGAAACCACCCTTTGGTAAACAAATCTCCATAACACATTCCACATGTTCACAATACCAGGTGCAGCAAGTGAAAACAAGAATTGTTTCTCATTCTTCACTCTGCTCTTCTCAGAGCCTTTCCCAGAACGATGCCTGGGAAAGGTCTGTTTCTCTCTGTGGCCAGAGAGCTGCTGCCACAATAAGAGGGCAGGACAGGAGAGCTCTGTGAGGCTCAGGTGCTCCATGTCCTGGGATGAGAGTTTGCATCACCTACAGCCCCTCAGCCTGGACAGCATTACCCCAGTGTGCCTCCACCCTCCACACCACTGCTGTGGCAGAGACTTTTCCAGCTCAGTGCACATGCCTAGAGAGTGCTGGCACCCTGGTGACATCACTGTCCAGCTACATATTGTCTTTAAAATTGAGAGATTAAGGGACTGGTGACCCAGGAGAGGAGGAGAACCCATGGTGGGCTGTGTTCTGGAGGAGGGATGCTGCACACAGGCATGAGGCAGTACCTGTCCATGTATCCAGCAGATCCCCTGATGAGCCACGTGCTGTGAGACTGCTGGGCTCGTGTTATCAGCATGTGTCATTTCCCAAGGGTTGTGAAGGCATTAACAAATTAAGTCTCAGGGCCCTGCTGCAATTCTCATTAGCATCATCCTAACAACTCTTCGTGTTAAATAGCTCAAATCAAAGTTTCCAGTTTAGTAAATATCCCTCCATAGGAATTGCTGTCTCCATCAGGCAGGGCCTAAATGGACCCCAAGGACCAGGACTGGTGCTGAATTCCACTTCCCAAACAGACATAAGACAATTTCACTTCTGCCTCTTGTTCATAGTCCCCTCCTCCAGCTGGAAGTGGCTCTCACAGGTGCCGGCCCCATCCAAATGGATTGCTGAGGAATTGCAGGTTGCATGTGTAGAAACAATGGACAATTTGCAAGTCTGAAGCCTCACAGTCTCCCCCCTGCCAGTGAGATGGACATCGAGGTTCACTAAATCCTGATTGTAGACATGCTGAGAAATCCCCACTGAGCAAAGCCCAATCCCTGCAGAAAGCAGTGCTCAGTGCTTGAGGTTGGTGGTGATTCCAGGGCAATCAATCAGCAAACCACAGCAGAAATTCTCCCCCAAATTCTCCCCCTTTTCTGACCTCTCCCTTGGGCTTGAGAGGTTCCAGCAGTGGGTGGAAAAGGCCATGATCTGGGCATGAGGATTCTCTGGGACCTGCCTGCTGCCCTGGGTCAGGATTTATCACAACTTAACATGGCTGAGGACAGGCCCTCGCTGAGCAGATGAAACCTTCAGGGAGCAAAGCACATGAGTGATGACCAAGTTTCTTGTCTGACCAGACATACAAGCATTGCCATTCCACAGACAGCTTTTGATGTCCTCTGGCTTTCTGCCTCCATCTCGTGGGCTTGGGAAGCTTCTTGCAGGGCAAGGTAGCCTAGATTTGGCTAGACACTGGATTAGCTGGTGGCAAAATGGGATTTGTTAAAAAGGAGCTGTTAATGCTGCTGTTAATGGGTGGTGGGCAGCCATTCCTCAGCTCTGGGTCCCCATGGCCATCCCTCAGTGCCCAGTCCTGTGGCCATCCATCACCCTGACAAAGAGTTCCTCAGTGTGTGCTTTGATTCTCACTCAGTCATGGAAAATCAACACTGCAGCATCCCAGAGCTGGAGAGCACTTTTCTCCTTGTCCCTGTGAGCTCCTCTCCTTCTCACACTTCTCCTCCCCAAAACCTGTCACTGAACCAGACCTGTCACTGCTGAGGTGACATCCAAGTCACATCCTGAATACAGGCTAAAAGCCAGTTTTGGCACAAGCTGTGACCTGATTGGATCAAACCCATGTACAATGTTGAGCAGGGCTGTACATGACTCTGCTGCTCCCACCCGCCCTGGCCATAGCCGTGTCCCCAGAAGCTCTTTGTGACTGGTGGCCTCCCAAATGCTCAATGGTACCTCTGTAGAAGTGCTGGGGGGCAAAAGCTGGCTGAGCCCAGAGCCACGGTGGCCACGCTGCACTGGTGACGTGGTCTCCACAAAAAGTCAAAACCTCCAGTCATCATCCCTGGGCAGGGGGATGGTAGAGGAGGGTGGACAGAGGGGCCAAAGTCCTGGTGTCCCTGGGCATGGCATAGAAGAGGCAGCCAGCCCTGATGTCTCTTTGTCCATCTTTGCCTCTGCTCAACAGACATTTATTTTCTCTATTTTCATCTCCTGAAATCTGCCCCTTCCACCTGCCTCCGCTGTCACCCTGCAAGGAGGCTGCAGCAGCACCAGCAGAGGCTGCGATGCAGCATCGGCACATACCACCTCCCAGGAAAGGATCCATGCATCAGCAGATGAGGCCAGCGACACCCCTGACACCCTCTTCCAAGCACTGGACCCCTGGGAGGTGGCTTGAGCGGGCTGGGGCTGGGGACACTCACCAGAGTGGTTGGTGACAGGCGGCAGGCTCTCACAGTACTGCTCCTGGATGGAAGCTGCAACCGGGCTGTCCCAGAGGAGAAATGCCTGCATGGGGAGAGCAGACAGGGTGGGGTTATGTGTGCAATGTGCTGCTTCCCCATCCCCAAATGCCTCCTTGGCTCAGATCTGAGCTTGCCCATGTCTGGGTGGGCACCACCCCCAAAGCTTGCACGATGGACATGTACCATTTACAGGATGGCTTCCTGGGGAAGCTGTGCTTATCTGAGCCGAAGGCTGGGGGACTGCTCTCTGTTTCCCACCCAGTGATCCTCTCCTGCCTCAAATACCCCCCTCAGCAAACCCTCCTGCAGCCCCTGCTGAATCATGGAACCTCTGCTATTTATCATTTTAATTAACACTTTTGGGTTTACCATCTTTCAATCCTGAGAGCACACAGGGGAAACATGATGAGCCTGACACCACGCTTGGATTTTCAATCCCTTACTGAAATCACAGCGTAAGCTGTCAGTGGGAAGATGTTCATATACATCCTTAAGGAGATCTGATCCATGGACAACCAGCTCTGGCTAAAGCCTTTTTTTTTTTTTCCAGGAAAATTGTCAGCAAACACCAACATTCCCATTGAGTCAGAAAGCCCTGACCACAATCTACCCAGCTCTGCTAAAACTGCACAAGGAGCTATTTTGGAAGAATGATTATTGAATTATTGTGCCTTTGCAGGAGTTTGGGGAAACTAAAAGTGAGAAAGGCAATTGCCAGGATGAAGGGATTGCAAAGATGGCAGAGGGATGGTGCTGTCCTCTCCTTCCCTCCTGTGGCACAGCTCACCACGGTGCCACATGAGGGAAGGGGAGGATCTGATATTTTGCAGAAAAGGGTGACACAGGCTCATCCCCTCTCCTCCTCCAGCACTAATGGTGGACGAGACTCAACTCCACTTCTTTCACCTTCAGCGACTGACCAAAGCCCCTGGAGAAAAGTCACTGATTAAATGACAGAGCTGTGTCCCAGAAGACATCACATACAGATCTCCTGAGAAACAGCCCTGAGCCTGAAGGCAGGAAGGGCTGCACCTCCCCTGCATGCAGGCAAGCTCCCAGCTCCTCAGGGACAACCTTCTCTACCTTGCCCATCAGCCAGGCTGATTCCTAGTGCCTGACCCCCTTTCCTGAGTGCCATTTACCTCCCAAACTGCTCTGAACACAGAGAAGACATTCCTCCTCTTGTCCTTGAGCCATGGAAACACTGTCTGCCCTTGCTGACATACCCAGCCATCCTCCTGCCTTACCAAGGCATTAACAGGATTTATTCAGACACAGAGACAAGCTCAGCACCCACTTGCTCTTTTCCAAACAACTATTTACCGCCTTGGGAAGCTGGCTTTGACAGCAAGAGTGATGCCAGGCAGATGTATAAATGGAGCTGAGAATAGCTGCCTTGTTGTGACTGCTCCAGATGGCACAGAGGATCTGGCAGCTCAGCCCTGCCCTGGTGCAAGAGCTGCTTGGAGCTCCTGGGTGCTGGTCCTACAGAAGCCCAGCACCTCCTGAGTCTGCTTTCAGAAAGCTGAGACCACCCAAGCTCCAGACAGGGAGGAATCAAGGTGCAGGGAGTCTGCTCCTCTCTGTGTTGATGGCCACGGCTGGTGCCCACCACACCTGGTGGCTCTTGGCATTGGCAGCTGGGACAGAAGGGTTCTGCCCAAAAGATGTCTGGGATGGTTTGTCTATCTGAATAGGCTTTCAGGTGTTAATTGGATCTGTTTCTCCTAATCCCAGGCTGTTCCAGCCTGGTAGTGCCCATTCTCCTTCCAGACACAGGGAGAAGTCTTGGCACTGAGCAGCACATGGACCAAGCCAGAGACAGTGAGGGGTGTGGATGGAGTAGTCACTGGCTCTTTGCAGGCTTTGTAAATGAGCTGCAACAGCTACAGAAGGAAGAAAGAAAGGGAAAAAAGGATCCCCAAAACAGAACTAATACTAAGAGCTTTTTTAACAGGCTCTGAGTCTTTTACTGCTATGTGGCCATAGCTCTTGATAGAGGCAGAGTTTTGTCCCAGTCCTGTCTGCATTTTAAGGGGAATAAGCAGGTGTGGTGGCAGCTGCAGGGGGATTTGCCCCAGTGAAAAAAATTCTTATTGCTGGTCGCTGTCCTATCTGTTTTGCTCTTTGTGGGTTAGTGCAACCCCTCCCCACACTTTTACAGAGAGAACAGGTCAAAGCTCCGTCCTTGAGGAGCTTCTCGTGCCAGAGCACTGCTGCTCTATAAGATGCCACATGGTGCCCAGCAGGGCCCAGCCTGGCCAGGCTGGAGCCAAGCTCACCTTAAGAGCCCCGACACGGCAGTAGGTTGTGCTCAGGCCAGAGAGGGGCCATGTTCCTCCACCCTCCTGACCCTGTCTTCACACAGCTATGGCAGATCCCACTCTGCAGGCAGAAACACCTCTGTGACCTCTCTCATCCTGCCAAAATCCTGGAGAGCCTCAGCTGAGCTCTCAGCTGTCCGGGAAGGAAGGCAATCTGCTGGTCTGGAAGCAGCGCTTAGCACAGAGCTCCCCGTTAGCCAGGGGAGCTGCTCCCACCAGGATGGACGACGGCTCTGCCAGGAGCTGCACGGGCCCCGTGAGCACCCGCACTGGCAGCAGCTTCTTCTCCATCAGGAGCCACCATTGTCTCCCTGCCTCAGCATCGCCCAGCTCCCTTCCAGGCTCTGTAACATCCGTGTTTTATACACAGAGATGGCTGTGGTTTAGTCTTGGACCTCACGGAGCACCAGCTCCTTCCTTTCATGTCCACATTTTCTATAGCAGTACCAGCCCCCCAGTCCTCACTGCACAGCTCAAACACAAAACCCTGACACTGCTCCCGTGTTTCCTGCATCCCACACAGAGCAAACATCTGTTGTGGTTGGTGTCCCACCACCCACCATGCCAGGGCTGTCCCAGAGGGGAAACTGAGGCAGTGAGGACCATCTGCCTCAGGTCACTAAAGCTGTGGGGCACCGTGTGGGACAGATTTCTCCAGTCTGGACACACCAACCATGTCTTGGTGCCACCAGGGCTCCAAAAAACCCAGCCTGTGATGGGACAGGATGGCAGGTCCCCTGGGCCAGGAGATGCAGCACTGTGGACTAGGACAGTGTCAGCTCATCAGCACTGGGAGTCTGGCTGCTGTTGTGGGAGTGAGCAGCACAATCACATGGCGTCAGTCTCTGTGACCTGCCACTGACCTGGCAGAAAAATTCAATTAATAGCAATTAGGAATTAATATCCCCTTGCAGCGCTTTCGCTCTCCAAAGCAATCCATGGATGCTAATTAATACATTCACATCCAACTGCACTATCACCCCCCTGTATTGTGCTACCCAGAGACAAACATTTGTCCACCCCACTATAATGTTGCTACAGAAAAGAGGGGATCTGCATGGCAGGAAGGGCTGACAGTTCTGAGCACGAGACAGATGGCTTGTAGCCTAATTAGCGATCGAGGAGGTCCAGTGCCGAGGGGCTGTAATTGAAGAGCTGAGCCATTAGCGGGATTGAAGCCTGGGATGAAGCCGTGTGAGACAGGGGCTTTGTACAGAGCTGGAGAAGGCAGTGGGAGCAGTGGACAGTAGTGGCCACTGTGACCTTCCTGGGAGGGGGGACAACACCATCCACTCTGGAGTTGTCCCTGCTGTAGGGACCTCTGACCAATCAGTTCTGCTCCCTGGCTTGGCTGGGCTTGCTGCTCACTACAACACTTGGTGTGGAAGAGGAAAGACCTCCTGGAACACAGAGCAGGAAAGGGCTGAGCAACTGCTGCCCTGGACCTTTCCTGAGGTTCCCTGCAGCATTAGGCTGGGATGGAGGCTGTTCTTGGCTCTGAGCCTTCAGCAAAACATGCCAGACTTTGGGTGTTAAATACAGTGAGTGTTAAAAGAGCTGGATGCCAACTTCAGATGGCAGAGCAGCATTAGTGGTGTGGGGAGGATGCAGCACGTCCTGCCAGGACTGCAGCTGGAGGCTGGAGGTGCCCTGCAACAGCCTGATTGAAAGAGCTGCCCTCAAATGTGCTTGCATCTCTTTGCCTTTGTCTCCTCTGGCTTCCAGGCATTCTTTTCTGCAGCCAGGGATCTTCTTACCTGCTCCACTTTGAGGGCTTTTGCGTGGAACAGTTTCCAAATGAAACCTCCAGGCAGATCTGGTCCAGGAAGGACCCTCTGTTTTAGCCCTGGCAGTAACCTGCTTTGCTACCCATGACCTCAAGGTTCCTTCAAGCCCCTTCACCGCCCTACCAAGTCCCTGTTTCTCCTTCATTTCTCTCCCAAAGCCCCATTCCAAGCCCTGCCATCATTGGGACATCAAGGCAAAGCTCAGGCAATGGAACAAGGCTCAAGCAAGACTCGTGGGGGGATTTTTCCATGGCTGGTGTTACTCAGTGGGAGAGCAGGCAGTGAGAACATCTCCATCCTCCATCTGGCATTAAAATCTGCGAGTTTATTAATTTATCTGTATTAGAGGGCCAGTCTCTGTGGTGTGTAAACAGGAGCTTTGGTGAGAGTGTTTATTCTGTTTGCAGTCTCTCTCCAAGTGTGCTGAATGCAGATCCTAACATAAGAATATCAATCAGGGCTAAATGAATGCCCTGTAAAAACTGATTTATGAGCAATTAAAGGTTTTCCTGGATTAAGCTCGGGCCTCCGTCACTTGCCATAAATAATTCTAACTTCATTTATCTGTCATGAGAGACATGAATTTTTAGGGACAGGTGAAAAAATGACAAATGGCATTTGGGTGTTGGAAGCTGAAGGCATTGTCAAGCTGGGAAAGGGCATGCAATCCATTCAGCTCCTATGGGATCTGGATTTGCAGGGGCAAAGGCTGCTGAGGAAGACTGGAGTGATGGGCACAAGCCTGGGGGAGGGCTGTTTTTCTAAGGCAATTTTATTAAAATCTCCTGCAGATTGTACAAGTGGAACTCCTGTGTATTGACAGATATTTTCAGTTTGGGATTGGACATTTTTCCCTCCATCTCTGTCCCAAAACCCTCATATTGACTGCTCCAAACTCCCTCGTTCACCCACCACCTTTTTAGGGTTGAACATCCACAATTAAATTACCCATAATTTTTTTTCTGGTTTATTCACATTCACAGCTCAGGAAAGCTTGGCCACACCAAAGCTGCATCTGCTGCTGCTTTTCCAGGGTGGATAGTGCAGATTTCAGGGTGCAAGAGGGACTGTGATCTGCAGAATACCAACACACTTTGCCCTTGGCCATTGAAATAGAGGTGACTGCTCCTAGGAGGGTGACTAGATAAAGCAGAGAAGGAGGGTCTCTTCTATAGCTCAGAATACAGTCAGGGAAAAACAACAGATGGGCCCGGGGTATGTTATTCCATCTTCAGAAAGAGCCACCCTCTGCTGAGTGACAGCTCTGAGGTGTTGGACAATGGCTCCTGGGCTCCGCTTTGTGAGGGAACCCCATGATTTGGGGGTTGATTTGTGCTTTCTTTGGGTTCAAAAACTTCTCACAGACACATCCATGGATGCAGCCTCTCTAAACACTGCAGACTCAATTGCAGCTTGAGCTTGTCACTCACAATGAACTTCTAGGCTAACCCTGTGCAGGATTTTGGGAGCAGAGCTGGATTTCAGGGCAGGGTTGAGCTGGTGGTGCAGGATATTCTCATTGTACTCCTGTACATCCTATGGTGACAGTGCAGCTATTCTGGGAACAGGCTGTGCCTTTTCCATTCACTTCTTTGCTGGAGATGCAGAACCACAGGGATGATTTCATACACACTGAATCAACTCCAGCTTTTAAGGAAAGCGAGGACTGGAAGAGATCCCCAGGGTCAGCATGTCCTGCAACTGCAGCTCTGCATTTAATGCAAGGATTCGAGCATGGAAGGGGCAGGAGCTGTTTTTTGGGCTTATTGCTGCTGGAGGTGGTCAAGTGAGACCAAATCATCAATCCCTGATTTTTCATAAAACACTTTTGCAGTTCTATCAGCCCCAGAAATGTCATTGGCTCCTGACAGAGATGCAGGTGGACTGGTTTATTTTTAATCACTTTTTTAGTTTGTTTCAATGACTTGCAAGGGTGCCAGGGAGCACCTGGCAGCAAGTTTGGCAGCAAGTTTGGCTGCCTGTCTCCTAGTCTGTCTGTCTGACCACCTGAGGGATGTCAATTCAGTAAAGCAACATGGGCAAACTGATGCTAAAGTGCACGGGGAACATCTAAACTGCGCCAACCCAGTATCTGCAGGGGAGGTTTGTCCCTGCTGAGCTCTGGGTTGGAGCTGGGCTGCTGCAGGTCTCTGCACTCACAGGCAGGATGCTGCTGCAGGTATACCTGGCTGCAGGGATGCACTCATGGCTGGAGTTTCATGGTCCTTTAGCTCATGCTGTCCCCAAGAGAGGGTTAGGACTGTTCTGGAAAAGCATCTGAGATTTGAATGCATGTATTTATAAGGAAAAATAGACAGCTTGACTGCAAAGGGGGGGATGGTTGTAGATTGGCTGTTTCTTTTTGGAGCCAGCTGGGAGAGGCTTCTCTTTGTCTGGTCTGGTTTTTGTGACTCCTCTCTCCTGGTCCCAGCCAGAATACAGGGATGGTTTTGTCTCAAACCCTGGAAGATTTGTGAAGACTTGCTGCTCCACCTTCACAAGGAGAATATCCTTGGGGGAACACCTTGGGATGGCAAGGGAGTCCTCTGAGTCTAAGGAGCTTTGACAGAGGATGGGAGCTGTGTATCAGCACCTCTGGGCTTCTTCTGTACCACTTTTTGCTCACCGAGGTTATTAGGAGCTGTCACTTTCACGTGGCTCTCCCCACCAGAACATGATCTCACTGCACTGGGTCTGTGCTAGACTGGCCAAGAAGGACCTGGGCTGGGGGAAAAGATCCTGCCCTGTGTCAGCTTTATTTCTTACATCAGAGCCAAACAAAACCTGAACCAGGGAAAGTAACAGAAAAGAGCTCCCATAAACCCTATCAATCAGGCTTAGCAGGTTACAGCAATAAGATAGAGCAGCTGCTCAGAAGAGTTTTTAGAAGCAACACCAACTAGGCAGGGTGTCTCCTGGTATACATCAGCTCTTCTCATCATTTAGGTGAGAACTTTCCTGGCCCAGAGGTGCAGCTGACATGTGAGGTACACAATAGAGTGAACAGTGGGGTGCACAGCCTGCAGGGTACAAGCCATAGTGGTGACAATGGGGAGAGCTCTCCCTCCACTTTACCTGCTGCTTTAACTCTGCAGTCCCAGCTGGGCCACTGAGACACCATTCTGCAGCCAGCCAGGCAGATTTGTTCTTTTACCCCTCCTTGACACAGAGGTTTTATCAGAAACCGGATCAGTTTGTTTAACTGCCACTCTAGGCTTGTTCAAATAAAATTCAAGATTTCACTGGGAGACCCTTCATCTTGTTTGGGATTTAAACAAGCTTTGGGGCTGTTAATGTTTCCCTCCTTGATGAGCCCTCAAGGAGGAGGAATATTGCTTCTGACAAAGCATTTGCATATTGTGCAGAGCTGCAAAATTAGCAGTGGCTACAGTTCCACAGCAAGCAAATTAGAGAGAAAATGTGTTGTGCTTTGCAGGTGCAGGGCAGTAAAGGAGAGGGTTCCTTAGAAAATTAATTATGGGGGGGTACAACTGGACTGTGCATTTGCATTGTCCACATCCACCACACCCCCAGAGTGGCCACCCGCTCCGAGCAGCCTGGGAAGCTGGTGGGAGCTGTTTTCACCGGGAGGTGCAAGGCTGGGAGTTACTGGGAGCCCTGGGCTGAGTTCAGGAGCACCTGGCTGCGATTCTCCCCGCTTTTAATGAGCTTTTCACTCACTTCAGTCCCCCTCCCCGATAGTCTTTGAGCATCACGAGCTCCTGCTAAGCCCCAGTGCCTCGACTGGAGGAATTCTCCCGAGGGCTCTTTGTGTTGCGGCTTCTCTTTCTACTTTTCCCGTCAAAGCAATTGAAAAGTCACTGCGGAGAGCGCGGGCGATGCACGGCGTAGGGGTGATGGGGACGGGGCAGAAGGGCCCTTATGGGGGAAGAGAAGTTGAAGATCTTACCTGCAGGAGGAGGAGGAGGAGGGCAGGACGCAGGCTGGGCACCATCCTCAGCTGCCCGTGCGCCCAGCTCCGCGGGGCATGGCTGGCAGCGTCCCCGCTCCTGCCGGGCTGCTCCTGCCCTCGGGGACAAATCCTCGGCGCTTCCAGCGAAGGAGCCCGGCGGGTCCTGCTGCGTCCCACTCCTGCCTTTTATAACCTCCTCGGAGCCGGTCCTCCGGCTGCCCACCTTCCAGCTCGCCTGGCGATGGGCTGCAGCCCTCCTCACCAGCCTCCCACTCCCCCTTCTCTCCCTCCTCCTCTTCCTCCTCCCCTTTTCCTTCCTCCACCTCCCTGGTGCCTTCCAACTGTATTTGATTTCTGCCCCCACCTTTCTCCTTCCCTCCCTCAGCATCTTCAGCAGCAGAAACTTCCCCCCGGCCCAGGGACCGCCCTCCCGCCTCTCCTCTGAGGGGGTTTCTGCTCTCCACCGCTCTCCTCGCTCCGTGCACACGCTGTGGGTCCCTCCTGCGGGGCCTGGCGGCTTCCCTTGTGTCTGCAAAGCCTTTGGGGCCGCAGTTTGCCGGGGATGAGGGGATGAGCGGCTGCTGTGCATTTGGGATTTCGCTCCAGGGCTCTGTCGGAGGAACCGGGACAAGTTTCCCAGCCTCCCCCAGGTTTCCGCCGTCAGCCTTTGCAGCCCCTCTGCAAAGCGGATGGTGGGCACGAAAGGAGGGCAGAGCCCCTTTTCCCTTCCACAGGGATGGGGGCGAAGGGGTTTCAGCCCTGCCTTGTGAGGGAAGGACGGGGATGTGGGGCAGGTCTGCACACAGCGGGACTGTGCGGGGGATGTTTGATCACACGGGAGGAGCTGGAGGTGCTGCTTTGTCCCGTAGGCAGAGGTGATGGGACAGGAGCAGGTGGGGCTTGAACTGATAGAGAAGGGGGAGGACAAGTGTCCTGGGGAGGGTGGGGAGCAGAGGTGTGGGAGAGCCTGGATGATGCTCCTGAGGTCTTGGATAATGATATGTCCCTTCTCGCCTGGCATAACCCTCAGGCTTTAAAGGGTCTCCTGTCATACCTCTGTGTCTCAGCTCCTGCAGTTCCCTGGCAGCCATCTCCTGGTCTCCTGGGGAGGGATTCCACACACCCCTGTCTCCCGGGGTTGATATGGTCAGGATTGCATCCATCCCTGAGTTGGCTGGCTGGGTTAAACCTGCTCCCCCGTGCCAGGGCACTTTCAGAGCATGCCTTCTGTACTCACTGAGGTTTAGGGGGGTGCCCCAGCTGTGGGTGCTGTGCCTATCCTGGGAGTGAGCCCAGCTCCATCAGCCTGAGGTGAGCTGGGGCAGACAGCCAGGCAACAGATTGTTGCTTCCTTCTTTCCTTGAGGAAATAAGGATCAATGAGGTGTACTGCTGGGAGAGGGGACGCTGGATAATATTGCCATGGGGCCACCATCTAGGGGTGTGATATTTCCCTTAGCTGATGACGGTTCATCCACCACCAGCCTCTCACGGGGTGCTGGATTGTGCTCCCAGCTGCAGGCTCTGCCTCTGGGAATGGCTGCAGACCACAGCAGGTTGCTGATGAATCAATAGGAGGGCAGCATCTCTTGATGAATTCACGGCCACAGCCTCTATCGATCTTTACTGAGCTGCTCTTTGTCTCTGGAGCACCTGCAGCTGCAGGACCAAGGCACAAGGACTGAGCAGGGCTGTGTCCCAGCATGTGGGGGCACCCAGTGACCCACCCTGGCCCCCAAAGGGTAAATGCTCCCGGCCCAGTAATTAAGGGGAATAAACAACACAGACATAAATCTTTTGGCATTAGCTGGGTTAAATTAATTGTGTCACTGCTTTGGCAAAGAAATCTGAACATATATAAAGCTCTGGTAAATTCAGCAAACTTTTTGTTTCTGAGGTCTCTTAACATCCCTCCTGTGACAAGTATGGGATAAGACAGACTCCAGAGCCACCCTTGTGTTACCTCTCACTTCAATAAGCCCATGGAAAATGCAGAATTTTCTAAAAATGGCTTGAGAAAGCTTGCTCCAAATAATTTTGAGCATCCTGGATTCAGCTGAGGACATCACAGGATCATGGAATAGTTTGAATTAGGAGATCATGTAGTTCCAAACCCCTGCCATGGAACACCTTCTACCATCACAGGTCTAGGGCACAGTTCCTGGTCACAAAACACACTCTGGTTTTGGGGGCTGCTCAGGGCTTTGTGCACCCAGGGGACAGAAGGGACCTTGCAATGGGAAGCACCAGAGATCTCATTCCCACACCAAGACCAAGGATTGTCTTTCATCATCTCAGCCTGCCCACGGCCACCAAGTGGGACATGTGGGATGGCCATGCTCTGCTCAGGTGCCCTAAGTATGAGGTGATGCAGGGAAGGCAGAAGTGAGCACTAACTATTTTTAGTTAAGGAATTGGTTGCCAGGGACATGAAGATAATTCCTTCCCCATATATCATGGAAAAGGCTGCAGTGCTGTTTAAAGCACCTAATTGAGGGGATTTATAGTAAAATGCAACTTGTCAGATGTGGCAAAAGAAAAATAGAACAGTCCCTGAGACACAGAAATCAGTCCATTTGTCACGGTTAATCTCAAACTTCTCGATGCGGTGCAGAGACAGATGTGGGAGATGGGTTTTAGGGATGGAGACAATGAAGAGAAATATCGGGTATCTAGGAAGGAGGGAGAGGAGAGGTTTAGTCTGACTTACCTGCCTTTGGTAAACTATTATTATTTTATGTAACTGCATGTGGTTTGACAGTCCTGTGTCTGAGCAGCTCCATGACAGCTGCACTTTGGGGCTGTTTGCAGGACTTACACCACTGCCCTGCTCCCACTCTGTCCCTGCAGACAACCTTCCCCTGGTTTGGGAAAACTCCATGTGTCCCTCCTGCAGTGTAGGGATGAGACTGGGACTGGTCCGTGCACTGAAAGGGTGCAGGGAAATGCATCCCTGCTTCTCCCATGGAGCACTGGTAGCAGGGCTTTGCTTCCAGCTAGGACATCTGTAGGAGAAAATAATCCTCAGTGTCCTGGACATTTAGGCCAGGTTGGTGGAAAGGTGAGGTTTAGCTTCTCAGCTGAAATCCCAGCTGAGATCAGCAGTGTGCCTCACTTTCCCCACCTGTGTGTTGGGACTGTTTCTTTCCCAGGAGGCTGAGTGCAGCTGGGAATGCTCAGGGGAGGACAGGCTGTCAGCACGTGGGGCTGTGTTAGCAACTGCAGGCCAAGCAAAAATCCAGCCCACCACATTGTTTCTCCCAGGAGACTTGTTTTTTGCCCCACTTTAAAAATTAGTTTCCAGGTTTTCTGTCCTGTGTCCTTTTCCCTCATCCTAGACCTGCAGTGAGGGGAGCACTCTCTCAAACTCTGCCTGACTAAAGAAAGTAGCTGCTGGGATGAGGTTTGTCTCATTCCTGCTTACCACATAGTATAATCATGCCTCATATTTGAGTATCCCTGTTGTATTTGACCACTCTGTATCACCTGCTTCACCCCTGCAAATCTCAGCTGCTCTGAAACGAAGAGCAGGAAACCTGAAGCCACAGCCCTGCTGAAAACATTGCAGGGAAAGAAACCAAAGATTGTTACCAACCTCATTTAGTGAGTATTACCTTAGAGCTGTGCTGGCAGATTTTCTTGGTCTTGAAAGCCTTGCAAATGCTTGGGTGGCCTCTGGATACTTCAGACCCTTGTTTGTCCCGTCAAACTCTGCTGGAGATGCAGAAGAGTCCATGTAGGAAGACAAACTAGTGTCCTGCTGGGAGAAGGAAAACTCAGACATGTGGAGCTGGGTTTACTCTGACTCATTGCTCCATGCAGCAAGTGACTGATTCCTTCATTTACACGGATAATTCCCCCCTGCCATTTTTTCTTCCCACACTGTGTGCATTGATAGGAGATCCCACATTTACAAAAACATGGCAACTGCAAACTCAAGGAAACCCACAAAGATTTGGGATCTAACTGAATTTCTCATTTGCTTCCCAAGTTTCTCAAAAGTGTTTGCCATGTTTTTCAAATTGCTTTTGGGAGGATGTGTCAATTTTGAATATAACAGAAACACAAAAGCTTTTGTTCTTCAGCTAATTAAACCTCAAGGCAGAATTCTAAACTGATCATAATAAAAGTCATAATTATTATTTTTCTCATTCAAAGCAAAGTCAACTGAAATTTCCCAATCAGCAGTTGGCATTTCCCATCAAACAGATCACAGTGGTTTGTGGTTGGGAAAAACTCCATGGTTTTATTCTGGAAACTGATCCCACCAAAGCAGCAGTGGAAAGTGGCTCTGTCTTCACACCGTGTGTGACACAGAGATGCACAACGCTGTCAGCTTTGAGCCTCTTTGTAGCTGTGTCTGGCAGCACAGGCACCCCACAATTCTACTGCATTGTCTGTTGTTGTACAGATGTACATGAGTTCTATGGATATACAAGGATGTACAGACTCTTGCATGCATCATGGAATCATAAGATTGGAAAATCCCTCCCAGACCATGGAGTCCAACCTGTGCCCCATCCTCACCTTGTTACCAAACCTAGAGTACTGAGTGACCTGTCCTGGTGTTCCTTGGACACCTCCAGGGATAGGGACTCCAAACCTCCCTGGGCAGTCCCTTGTTGGGAAGGATGGATAAATATAATTGCCTGGCAGAAGAACCACAACAGTACAGCCAGGATGAACATCATGGCCCCTACTGGCTGGACAATGCCCTCACCTACAGAGGGATCCCAAGGCCAAATGGACTGTTCCATCTCACCCCCAGAATGTATGGCTTACCCCACACCTGTAACCCTCCCCTGAAACATCAAGTGTCTGTGACCCCATTGGGCCAAGTCTTGTTCCAGCCCACCTTGGAGCCCCCCTGATAAGGGGTGTCCAAGGGGCCAGACGCTCTCTTGGAGCTTCCTCCCTGCTCTTGGATCCCCCCCTCTCTTGGAACTCCCCCTCTCTTGGTTTTCCCCCTCCGGGAGTCTCTGCTCTTCCCTTTGTCTCTCCCCTGCCCCATCACCTCAGGCCCTGCCCCGTGCTGCATCTGGCAGCTCGAGGTGGGACCTTTCACCATCCCTAATAAACCTGATCTTCTAAGAGCAACCAACAGAGATCTCTTGTCTGGATCCACACAAACCGTCCTGGAGCTCCTACGTCCTTACAGTCCCTTGCAATGCTTAATAGCTCTTTCCATGAGGAAATTCATCCTGATGTCACACCTGAACCTCCCTTAGCAGAGCTTGACACCATTTCCTCTTATCCTGTGTCTTGTTCCCTGGGAGAAGAGCCCAACCCCACCAGCTGCCCCCCGCCCCCCGTCGGTGTTGTGGAGAGCCAGAAGGTGTCCCCTGAGTCTCCTTTTCTCCAGGCTGAGCCCTCCCACAGAAGAATGGGCATATCCAGAGTGTTGCACTCACACCTGTTGGTGTTAACTCCACAGCATCATGGACGTGGACATGTCATGGGTGGTGGAAATGTCCTGCAGAGATTGTGGCAGGGATTGTGACGTCCTCAGAAATAGCCTGTGGTAAAAATAGTTCCCCACTTCTCAGGTCTGCAAGTACCCCTCAGGGCAGGAAAGGTTCTGGATGTCTTTCAAATCTGGTTATTTATTCCCTGTATGTTTGATGAAATA